GAATCGGGCCTGGATGCACGAGGGTATGATGTCGTCCGCGCTAACCATGGCACGTGCATCTCGGCTCCGGTTTCCACCGCCTTCTGCGGCGTCTTCACCACCATGTCTGGTCCCGTTGCCTCGAATTTGGTGCTGCTGGGTGACCTGCCCGCATGCGCGCAGGGCAACAAAGTCCGCTTTCTGGGCTGGTGCACCGAGTCGTTCCCGATCACGTCGCAGAGACTGACTGTATCGCAGCATCGATGACTACGTCACTGAGACCGCAACACTGCGCCTTAAGCACAACTACCCGACATCCAGCCCGCCCGTCATCGCGAACCTCGATGTCCAACACGTACTGGAGCGCATCAAGCATCTCGACGTAGACATCGGCACATGGCTCAACGTCATCGGCTATGTCGAGCGCAGGAAGGAGCAGGGCGTCTTTGTACAGGCCGTCACTGTCTGGAATGCCGGCAATGTCGACCTCAAGGCGTATGAGAAGGCCGTTGAGGCGCGCAAGGCCGTTGCATAAACGTCGCCAGGCTCATGTATTATGCTCATGCACGCTCACCCAAGCAACGGTCATAGTATGATTGTGCAACACCAGTATCTAACACCAGATGTGAGGTTCTCGCTGCAGGACTTTGCCAAATTCAGGCTTGTTTGACAGATGGAGAATTCAATCATGAATATGGTGGGACACTACAAACAACGCAGTCTGAGATCAAATCACTATACTGCCCGAAAACAAACACTTGAAACGATTGATTCCACCGTCCTATCCTGCATGCTGACTGACTACTGATAGCCTTACGTGTTCATTTGGAAGCATGTTCCAAGGTGACCTCCAATGGCTTTTTATCCTACATCGCCGTTAGCATTTGTTACCGCAGGATCCGATCATACGATAGATCATACCCAAAGTAGATATGTGCACTGCTCTCCCCAATCCCACCTATCCAGATCATCCTTTAACCTGATATTGAAACTCCACAACAATCTCGCAAGTACCAGTCGCATCTCGTTATAAGCAACCTTGGCACCTATGCAACTATGTCTACCCACCATAAAAGGCGCAAACGCAGCCATGTTGTCATGTTCTGGCTTTGGATGTAGGAATCTCTCTGGTATAAAGGAGTTTGGGTTGCGGAAGTTGTACGGTTGTCTATAGGCGGAGTATTGATTGTAGGTCACGTAGGTCTATTCAGAAGAGTTTAGTTAGGATGAGGTAGTATGGGAGCATGAATCTCTTACGCCTTCAGGAACCCATTGGTCGCACACAGTATCTCCGCCTTTGGGAGCAATGCGAGGTACTCCGATGGCGTTGGGAGGGCCAAGTCGCATGCCCTCATTGATGACCGCGTTTAGATAAGGCAAGTTGCTTGTCGATGCTACCGTCATGTCGCTCTCATTCTGGAAATTATCCCTGATCTCTGCTGTGAGTCGATGCAAGACACCTCTGTGCTGCAACAACATTCTTACGATCGCAGTCAGAGCACTCGCTGTTGTTTCGCTCCCAGCAAACGCAATTACGAGTAAGTTGATTCCCCACTCAGCATCTGTGAAGTGATCCTTCTGATCACTATACTTCTTCGTCGGAGTTACCCAGTCCGGCCGCTCTACATTCAGTGCTATTCTCTTCTGAGCTTGTTCCATACTCAGCTTACGATGGTCCATACTCCTTTGCAAGATGCGTTTAGGGATGATGTGTCGGAGTAGTTTATCGATAGGAGGGTAATGGTTGATCGAGCCGATCAAGGCAAGCCCTTTGCCAAAGTCCTGGGCAATATCGACCCAGGGATGCGCTTTGCCGTTTGCAACACAATCCCAAGACTCGCCATAGGTGAAGTCTCCAGAGATATCAAAAGTCAGGTAGTTCAACCATTTCTCAAGATCGACAGCCTTTCTCTTTTTCACTTGTTCCATGAAGAGATCAACATAGCTTTCAATGACTGGTGCCTGTTCTTTCAAGCTTTTCTCTGAGAAGGAATTTGCAAAAGCACGTCTGTACCTCGTATGGTCTTCCTCATGCCAGTTCACGATTGAGTTAGGTTCGGTTGGTGACATCTTCTTGAATGAGGTACGGTTACGTTCGAAGGGTAGATGGCCCGGGCGTGTGATATAGATCTCTTTCAATGCACGACTGTCGGCATAGGAAAGTTCGTTAGGGGCTACACGTACAACTGGCCCATACTTGGTGTGAAACTCAGTAAACCGCTTGTGAATTTCGCCACGGTGCGTCGAGATAACATAGGGAATGCGGAAGGATCGCCAAAGCAGCGGACCGGGGTAGTGGCGTAGCGGATGGAGGAACGCGTTGTAGAACGCGTATGCGAACGCTAGCTTTGTTGATGGATTAGCATCGAAGGGAGCCACTTCGCATACTGACAGGGCACTTACGGCTGAGATGCATAATACACATGCTGCAACTGGATGCACGCGACTGGGTAACGATGACGATAACTGGAAGCCCAGGGCATCACGACCGCCTTTGTCTGCCATTGCAAAATCTGGACCAAGCTACAAAGCTTAACTTCCTGTGTCGAATGCTCTTATTCTGTGCTACTGCATCGCGATAGCAAGCATAGCTATTCGGATGTCGCGTTATCGTGACGAAAGGGTAGTCCTTGGCTTATGAAGTAAGGCACCCCGCTTTAGCCTTTCCTCTTTCGGTCATTATACTTTGCCCTGTCCAGACCCAGACCTAGAGTCCTCACGTCGATGATACTCCGATGTGTCCTTCTAATCACTCTGATATGGATTTGACATCTCCGAAAAATCTTGGGAGAGAGGAGAATCGAAGAACACGAGCTGCAGGTTGGCGCACCGCTTCCGCATTGGATGCGCCCTCAGCATGCGCCGACATCTCAAGTATCAACTCACGCCGGCCCGGCCAGAAGCAAACCCAACTGAACGGATGTAGAGCGGGAGACATATACTGTTGCGGTAGGTGTCACAGTCTCGACTGCCACCATGCAGCCAATGCAGGAGCTGTCAAGAGTTTGAAAAGCACTTCAGGATGCTGACAGGAGCCCAACATCCCGCGCACACGCGTATCCTCACCTAAATGAAGGGTAACTCCTGGAAGCGTTCGAGCGACGTTCATGAACTGGGGAAGTGTCGCACGTTGTGCGGGATCATCGCTGAAACCTTCGCTTGAGCTCTGACACAGCTCACTCTGTGAACTTCATGGGTTTCGAAACACTTGTTACTGTGAAAGATCCTTCGGCCGACCTGTCGTTCACATGTCTAAACGAAACAACCGACTTACTCGCGAATGGCGTATGCAACGTCGTCCCGCAATGCACCACGAGTTTGCTCGCTAGATAGACGGGTGTGTCACGAGAGCTTACTGTGGAGCCAAAAAGAAAGGAGGCTAATGTCGCCACTTTGACAGACTTGCAGAAAGCTAATAAGCCAACATTACCCCTCTTTCATTACCAATGAGGCGATACCAAAGCTCTGTCAGACGATTAGAGCGCATTTTGCGGCTCGTGGGTAACCTGGTTCTGGGTTTGCTAGTCAATGTCTTCAGTACGTTTCTTACCGGATTGCAGCTTTCGTGAACGCCTTGCCGTGCGCTCATATTGGTATCGAAGACGAACGCGAAGGGACTGGCTGATGAGTGCCACCCCTCGTTTAAACCAACCATGTAATTTATGCCTGATGATAGATATCAGTCTTTGTGCGGAACAGGCATCATGCTCAAGTTCGCAGCATGGCAAGCTTCACAGCCGCCTAACCGCAGCCGTACGTAGCATCGGTGCCACCGCGGATGCAGACTCCCTGAGACGCCGACAAGACTTTCGCCGCATTTCTCTCCCAAGGCTACCAGTGAATGCCTACACATTCCAGAACTCACAGTTGCCGCATTTTCCGTTAATCTCTGTCGAGTACCCAGTTAATTAACCAACATTTGGGCTTGAAGCGGGGCTTTCGATAGTTCGTGCATGCTATTATCGGGTCATTTACTGACTTTGCTCAGCCAGATCAGGTCATTTACCAGCCGTCCGATGCATGGCGTCTGCAGCGCACAGACAACGGGTGAATACCAGGGAGACCCCAGCCTTCCAACCAACCTCCCGTTCAAGCAAGCGCAAACCCAATTCCCAAAATTGGGTGCACTTCTGCCGACGTTTGGTGTTCGTCTGGAGGGCCTGATGCTGAAACTAAAGAATCCTTCGTTGGACGACCACTGAGGGTGTCAGGTCAACTGTGCCGCCTCCCTAAGGCAGAATAGATGCCTCGCTGTCAGACATTGCGATGGATGTGGAGGCGATGTAACAAAAAACCAACGTTCAAAAGGCTCGGGAGCGCGAATGGAGGCTCAACACGAAGAGTGGACAGCGCCACTGGAATGCGGCTCACTACAAGGGAAGCAAAGCCCATCGTATCGCTCTCAAAATCCCTGCCTTTGATCGCAAGATTGCACGTATCAGCGCTTACAGCAGACACAAGCCTTTTACCCAGCTTGCCGAGAGCGGCAAGGTGACATGCGGAAAGAGGACTACCCTGAGACGCTAAAGCCACCTCCAGGTCTCACCAATTTGGCGTGCATATCGCTTCAAGGATAATAGTAGGAAATCTGGTCAAGATGAAGGCCCGTGTTGACGTACACCCACACATGGCGGCGCATGCATGCCCATGTAGGCCGCCTGTCTAACGGCCAAGCGCGAGGGTTACAGATGAAGGTATAAGTCTGTCGAGCCGCCTGGTCTAAGAAGGAGTGTAACGGTGATATCAGCTTCGAGTTCTTAACACCAGCACTAGCGAAGCGAAACGACGACGTCCTTATTCTGATAACACCAGTCTTTCCAAATACTCATTCACTTTCACCATTGTTCAGGGTCTACCTGCGTTGCACAGATCATCCTCGCAAGATTTTTATACTGCCGCCACCCGACTTGCAGCGCACTATTTCCACGAGAACAACCCGAATTCAGCAAACCCAAATCATCTTTACAGAACGTATCATCAACAGCGTTCGCTTTTCGCAAAGCTACACGCTATCAGTCACCATGCTGTTCTCCACAGTCACTGCGGCCCTTCTCTGTGTCGCAACTGCCACTGCAGCTGCTCTACCATTGCCTGGCAAGCCACAAACATACACTCCCGCGCGGAACCTCAAGACCCTCTCCAAACTCTTTCCCCAGAGTACTCTTACTAGCCCAGACACTCTCGGCCTAGACCTAAAGTACGTTGTCCTCGGTATCGGCACACAAAACTACACATGTAGTACGCCCGACGACAGCGTGACTCCTGGTACCACTGGTGCATACGGTAAGAACATTATGAGCTCGACAGTAAGGCATCTCTAACAGCCATCTAGCTACCCTATACGATATCGGCACGAAGCTCAACGACGACAAGATGGCCAAATGGAAGATTGGCTCCATTTCGCCTCTTGCACTCTCGCTGAGCGAATGGGCACCTCAAGTTGTTGACATGAGCCTCAGGTCGCAGGGCTACGAACATATCGCCGGTCATCACTTCTTCGCCGATGTGTCAGGAACAAACACGCCAACATTCGCTTTCGACAAGTTGAGCGCACCCTTCCCCATGACCCAAGTGGCCAAGATAGGCAACGTCGATGCACCAGCACACGCATGCCCAGGCAAGAATGGCCTACCTGCTGTTCAGTGGCTGTATCTCCAGCACAAGGCTGGTATCACTCAAGGAGGAATCGACACTGTCTACCGTGTCGAGACTGCTGGTGGTAACAAGCCTGCTACTTGCAAGGGCATGCCAGCTTCTTGGGAGGTCAAATACGCTGCGCAATGTAAGTGTATATGAAACCCTTAGACTGCTGTAGTGGTCCACTAACATCTCGCAGATTGGGTCTATGGTCCAAAGTAGTAGGCGCCTAGCTTGCGACGCTCGTTTCGAGTCAATTACGAACGCTTCTACCCCTCATGCCTTCTTTAGTCCTTCCATAGTTGGATTAGTCGCGCGCGTCTATATTTGTCCCAGAGACATCTAGACAGTGTGCAGCAGGGCATGTGTTTCTTTTCTTGCCACTTTTCATTTCGTCTTCTAAACTTACGATACCCTTTCTTTCCCATGGTTCGTACGGCTTTGCTAGGTTTCAATTCTTCTAAACGGACATTGGCATGGTCATGGGCGTTCGAGGCTGTCAGCATTGGGCCATCATAGTGTACACCGACTTAGTATAGACCTTGCCCTAATTCTAAAAGACTTCTTCTATCTTTTCTGTTCTGGTACTTTCGTGATTCCTCGTGAAATAGTTCACGGTACAGTACGCGAGTCAACGCGCGAGAAGTCAACAAGACGTGATATAGTCCAGGTGATCACAACTGCTATTCCACCAACACAACACGCTTACGTGGACTAAGTCTTACGACACGTACTAGATCGACCGATAACATCGTGGCACGACATGTCAGCCAACATGCGAAGCTCGCCGTATATGCCGCAGTAAGGCGCGCAAGGCTGTTTGCGCTATCACGTCCAGTTCAACAAGCTTAAGATACTGACAGCCCTCATTTGCCAACCGCACGGCGTATGAGCTACCAATAAACACTACCGGCCTCTTCACAAGCCTTCATGTCTCTTACGGTTCTTTTTCGACTCGATCTCAAGAAAGCCTTGCTCCAATACATGACGTGAACCACTCGCCCAGTCCTGTAAGCCCTTTCTTTGCCCAAGATACCTGAAAACAATGCAGCCCTCCTGATTGGATGGCTGCTCGATCGAGGAGTGGTTCGTGCTACTTTGGTGGCTGTGGCAGCGGGTATTTCTCTTGGCAAAGCGGGTGTGGTTGGTGTGGCACAAGTCTGGTTTGACGGCGGCTAGAGTACATCGGAGGTTTTTCTTAGGGTTTTGTATAGTCTTGGCTTGAACTCTATCCATTGTGTGGTTCTCGGAAAAAGAAACGCCTCATTGGCATGCACGGAAAAAGGGCTTCCGTGCGGATGATTTGGCGTAAATATATTCTGCTCATTTTGGCGGTATGATTCCTGTTTGAACCTTTGTCGTATCACATCCATCGAACCCATCGCACCAATGTTCACTCTGGGCCTTCATTTCCGTGTGACCTACAGCGTATTCTGTAGTGCACCTGATGTCCTGCAGCTCCTTATCGTCGACAGTGTTGTCCACGCTTCCAATTCGCTCCTCAGTGATGCTGTAAACCACATTCTTCTTGCCCTGGTCGGGAAACGTGCACTTCTCAATCACGCTTTCTCATACACTACTTCTAGCTGATGTCTAGAGATTTTCGGTTTCTGTCGATGTATCGTTCGTTTTCAGAAGGATTTTGCGACGCTTAGCATACTCTCCTGCACTTCCAAACACGTGTCGTTCGAGACCATCGTACTGGCTGGTTTTGAACGATCTCGCGTTCCTCCTCAATAGTGATTTGAGGGCGGGTCCGGAGGTTGCAATAGCCCCCACGTGTATTTGCATGCTGAACGAAGGAGGTCAGTGCTAACTAACAGTGCATCATTTTGTAAGAGAGAAACTTTCAAGGGGATCACTTACGAGCTCAGAATGTTCATTCTCTGATCAATAGACATAGTCAGCTTGAGGAGTTGATGATTGTTGTAATGAGCTTACAAAGCGTAAATTGGTCATTGTTGTAGAGCCGAACTGGTAATAAGCGTTTGTAATGACTATGGTAGCTGCACTGTAGTCTTATGAGTGATTAGAGACTCGAAAATATAGTAAAAGTACGCACAGCCAGGTTACGCTCAGCAGCGCCATGAAGTTCAAACGTGTTGTTCGAGGCATCTGCGGGTTTCGTATGACCGGTAAAGATATGGTGGCGAATGCCACATCGGTGAACATGTTGCAAGCTTGTTGATGTTAATATGATTGAGCATTCTTTGCTGGATACCTAGGTATGGTTGGATTTACCTGTGCTCGCTAATGCAGTACTGACAAAGAAACCAACGAGTAGCATCTGGCATTGATGGTAGTACTCCAGGTACCGGATACAGGTGAATACTGGAACGTCAAACTGAAGAATGTGAACAGGGTGAATGCCATGTCGAAGGTTATCATTGCCCATAATGTGTACCTGAACCAGGCGTTGTTCTTGCTCAACCTTAAGAGAAAAAGCGTAATAGATATTTTCCAGTGGTGTCAAAGCAATCATCGCTAGAATACTGGTTTGCTAATAGACGGCCTGGTTGCTGGCTGCAAGATCGGATGGCGTCCAAGGCCATGGCGGCTCTGGACGATGAAACATATCAACTTTGTCATTTCACCAACCTGTCTGCATCGAGGTCTCTTAGGGATACGAGGATATGTCTTCTTGGGAACTTACACATACTCACGTGTTGAGTGATCATCCATTGCTAGCTTGCGCAACACAAACACGCCGCCCACAGCGATGTAGATAACGGCATTCCATTGGATTCCCATGTTTGTTACAAGCCCGAGGCTGCCATCACCTTCGCCACGCCCATTCTTTCGTGTTCGGCGGCTCGTACAGACTGCGGAGACTCAAAGCCAAAAGACCCAGTATGCCGGTCTTCTCAAACCTTACTCGAGTAGGGCTATACACTGGTTCTGTACGCATGCCTTCGTACATGTCAGCATTGATTCTGAGAGTCAATTCTCTTGCTTCCTCGGTCGGCAATCTTCCGTGGGCCGCGTTGGATCTAGTGACTAGCGCCTGTGAACCCTGCCCAGGTGCTGGTGCTGGCTCCACAGCGTCCCGTCTCACGGAACACCATCGAGACTTCCGCGAAGAAAGTGGTAGTAGTAGTAGTAGTAGCTGACGTCTTTCGTTTGCTTTACCCAAAGCAGCATAATGGAGATCGACCGTCGTGGTCGTAAGACACAGTTTTGCGAGCTCTTCATTTAACCTGCATGAAGGAATCTGCCGTTCCTGCGTGGCTGCAGCGTGCTCATCGGTTTCTCGACCTCGACCCGGTCAAGCCATCCCATCGGGTCTTTACGATTCAGCATTTGCAACCGATTAGACGAATCTCGACTCTCGTATCTTGGACTTATGCGACGCTACTGCATAAACATCTGGGACAATGCAGAAACCACGTCGGTTGCCTTAAATGAAGCCCTAATTCAGTAACTCCGATGCGGAAGACTGCAGAGAGCATCTTTCGCCTCCGCGACCACCTCGGATTCAAGTTAGCGAACCTTGCAAGCCTAGTCGCTGCATGTGTGTACAATTTTGATATGGGGCCAAATCGTATCGTAGGCGCATATATCGGACTGTTGGCGCGCAGCTGTCGTCGCTCTGTCCTAACGTAGCGCCTTACTTCTCTTGATGAGATTCCTAGATAACATGAGATTTTGTGGAATCTCTGCCATTGCGCTGGCTTTGACCAGCGTTGCTTTGTCTGCCGCGGTAATACCTCGAGATGATTTGCTTACAGATCTTCAGAATCAGGCCATGGAGGCACTGAAGCAAGCTGAGGCAAACAGTACACTTGCGAAGAGGAGCTGCTCTCTCTCCAACGCACATGTCCGTCGAGATTGGTAAGTGATTTCAGCAGATTACCCGAGAAGATAAGAAGCTAACTTCTGCCACAGGAACTTGTTGAGTAAGAAGGAACGAAAGTCCTACATCAAAGCTGTGAAATGTATGATTTCATCGCCATCAAAAACACCTGCAGGACTTGTATCCGGTGCAAAAACACCATACGACGATTTCGTTGCTCAACATATCAACCAGACAACGTCGATCCACGGAACGGGCAATTTCTTGAGCTGGCACAGGTACTTCGTGTACGGCTATGAGAAGGCTCTGCGGGATGAATGTGGCTACACGGGTTACCAGCCGTACTGGAACTGGTTTAGTTACCAAAACGATTTGAGCAAATCTCCCCTTTTCGATGGTTCCGAGACTAGTATGGGTGGTGATGGCGCTTTCCTTAAGCACAATGGCAGTGTTAGCGGTGGTGGCTCGATCCTCTTGCCATCAGGAAATGGAGGCGGATGTATAAAGAGTGGTCCTTTCAAGAAGTAAGTCGGGTATTCTCAAGTTTTGAATCATCCATCTAATAGCGGTCAGTCTGCAACTCAACCTCGGTCCTGTCCTCCCTGCTATGGAAGGATACGCTGCCGTAACGGACCCATTCGAGTGGAACCCAAGATGCGCTCGACGCGATTTCATTCCCACTACCGAAGACTACACCTTCACCAACCTCTATAACATGACACTCGGCGAGGCTTCTCAGAGCGTATACACGTTCCAGAACGAGCTTCAGGGACGTTTTTCCGACGGATTTCTAGGTACACATACCGCTGGACACGTGAAAGTTGGTGGTGATGCCGCCGATTTCTTCAGCAGCACGAACGACCCTGTGTTCTTCCTGCACCACGCCATGTTAGATCGTGTGTGGTGGATGTGGCAGGCGTTGCATCTCAATCAGGCAAAGACAGTAGCTGGTACCATTACTATCCTCAACAACCCACCAAGTAGGAATACTACGTTGCAGGACGTCATCAGCACGAATTTCCTCAACATGCCAGACAGGCCGATCGGAGATCTGCTAGGTTCGCTGGATGGAGAGCCATTCTGTTACATCTACCTGTAGTACATTGAGACATTGTATATACGCTACCTCGAATACAGTACATAGAAATGCACATTTGAATGTTCACTTTTACGCCTAGCTGTTGATGACGGTAATACGCAGCAGGCAACGCGCAAAGACCCATAGAGCCGCGAACTAACACGTACCCACACTCCACGGCCCGCTAATTGGTCCGATCACCACTAGCCATCGTGATACTACTATCGACTCTATGACAACCTCTCAATCAATCTCATCATCGTCTTCCCACAACAATTAAGCGAAGCAGATGCTGCAGCCAATTCCCATAATCGGCGCTGGCATCGCCGGTCTAACGCTGAGCCGCAGCCTCCTCCATCGCGGCATCCCAACCATTATCTACGAAAAGTCAAGCTCAAACCCACGCTTCAATTACGCCATCACTCTTCACTCGACTGCCTACCAGCCCCTTCTGGAAGTTCTGAATCTTGATGATGTTGCGTTCAAGAAACGCGTCGCTGTTGATGCCGAAGATGGCGGGGCTGGAACAATCGGAGAGCAAGTAGATTTACCCAGCCATGGAGGTCTATACGCAACAACATCATCATTTCGCGCCAATAGAGCGAAGCTCGAACACCTGCTTCGTGAAGGTCTCGACATACGTTGGAAACACAGTCTTCAAGGTGTTCAGAGGACTCAAAAAGGACCTAGGATACGTTTCAGTAATGGCGAATCGTGGTCTAGTGGGAAACTTGTTATAGGCGCAGATGGTGTACATTCCGACCTACGGAAACTTCTACTCCCAGCTTTATCACATCTGAACGTCCTTCCGTATGTCGTTTTCAATGGGAAAAGGAGAATGGAGAGGGAGGAATTTGACAACATGTTCCGCGACGTGGCGAGGCCAAGGGAAACGAATGTTTGGGAAGTAAAAGCTGGGGATGTGATGCTTAATGTCAGTGTTAACAAGACGACGAGTGAAGAGGTAAGTCTCAGCTGGATATACTCGCGTCCTGTACGTAGCGACGAGGATGCACTGCATCGTCCTAATAGGCCGAACGAGGACGCGCAGAAGACACCCGATGAGCTCTTTCAAGAGATTGGTGAGCTGAGAAGTCTGAAATCTCCCTTCTCGGACATATTCGATGCGAAGAAGATGCGCGGGGACAGGATACTGCATTGGCTGATGCGAACAACATCTACACCACTGTCGGATTTGCAGGATCTCTTTGCGAGGAATGGAGTATGTTTAATGGGCGATGCAATTCATGCAGAGCCTATCGTGGGAGGTAACGGAGCCAACGCCGCTATCTTAGACGCATTGGCGCTTGCAGAAGCCATCTCGAGCGAAGAAAAGAGAGGCTGGGAAGGTATCGAGGGCAACGTGAAGAAAGGCGTATCGAAGTGGTATGATGAACGTTATCCGGAGTGGGAGCAAGGGGCTGTAGAAAGTCAAAAAGCCATCGCAAGAATGCATGAGGTGTCGTTAGGGGCGGATGCGCGGCTTTAAGTATCCATGTAGGAGTACTCACCGAAGTAAACTACAGAAGCCGCGTCAATGAAGACAAGGGTGGCGTGCTCGATAGATTTGTGTACTAAGAACCTCGTGCTTTCTGGATTATCCGACACTACAGAAGGTACTCTACAAACACTTGCTGCACCTCCTAGTAATATACTTGCAGAATTCAAGATGTATTATGCCTTTAAAGCACGTCAAGGACGTGCAGTAGAGTTCAGTAAAACAATAGCTGACTGTAACAGCTTTTGTTAGTCACTACAGAACAGAGCGGACTTGGCTAAACAGAAAGCATCTTTGGTATTTTGTAGTCAGATAAAACTGGGCAGCCGCAGCTACCACGCAGTCAGACGACTATCAAGGCGTGTCGTGTTGGTATGGATCTTTTGCTGGCCATTTAGACCGTAGTCTCTCGTTAGAAGTCGTCAAAGGTATCTACCAGCCACCGCCGCCAGTGTCACCTCCCCATGAAGCCTCACCTCCAGCGGCAGCAGCAGCATCGCCATCACCCGCACCCGCACCCGCACCCCAGCCACCACCTGCATCACCTCCATCCTCAGCAATAGGCTGCTTGCAGCGCTGCTCAGGTTAGCTTGTCGCACTTGCACATTTAATGATATCGAACATACCTTGATGGTGTGGCCCATCTCGTTACAGTTATTACACTTGACCTTAGACCAGTCCTTGGGTTCAGGACAGTCGCGGGAGAAGTGACCCGTCTTTTCGCAGTTGCGGCAAAGAGTCTTTTCCGGGTTCTTAGGCTGGTCGCAGTCCTTGGCCATGTGCTCAGTGGAATCGCAGTTGCGGCAAGCACGAGCGGCAACGTTGGGACACTGTCAGCTGTTAGTATGTGCTAGAGTGATTTGCAGCCCCACGATACTTACATCCTTGGAAAAGTGACCAGTCTCGTTGCACTTGCGGCATTCGACGCCCTCAGCAGAGCGAGGCTCAGGACACTCCTTGGAGTTATGACCTTCCTGCTTACAGTTCTTGCAGGCGTAAGGGTTGACACGCTCCTTGGGGCAGTCACGAGCACGGTGGCCAACTTCCTGGCAGTAGACGCACTGAGCCTCGGGCACGGTGTTCTCGCGCTCAGCCTGCTCTTGCTTGCAGTACTTGCGAACGTGACCAAGCTCACCGCAGTTACCGCATAGCGGGACACCGCAATCCTGAACGTAGCCGCAGGAGGTGAGGCGCTCCAGATTCTCAGTAGGACTCTCAGGCCAGCCTTGAGCCATCTTGGCGCGACGAGGCTTCGCAGAGAGCTGGACGGACAAAACAAACTTGCAGTCTGGGTTACCGATAAGGTCGACGATAGTCATGTTAGGGGCGATCTCCTGCTGCTTGGCGATAAGAAAGATTGCGAGGTCATCCTCGCGGAGAGCCTGTTCGACGGCGGCAAGGTTGAACTCATCCATGGTAGCGCGAGCGTAAGCCCTCAAGCAGATGCGGAAGGCGTCGAGGTCCTTCTCTTTGGCAGCATCGATCAGAGCAATCCAGGCAGCCGAGGCATCCATCTCAGGCACACCGGACCAGTCGACAATGCGGCGAGACTTGCAGTCGACAGCGCGATGGCCTTGCTGATCGCAGAGTTTGCAGGTACCATCGAAAGCACGCTCTACCCTCTCGTTGGTACAATCTGCCTTGTTGTGACCGACTTGACCGCAGTTGAAGCACTCGCCAGTAAGACCGCCACCGCCCTCGGGCTTATCAGGGCAGTCGCGGGCGAAGTGACCGGGCTGCTTGCAGCTATTTTGTTGTCAGCAACATAGAACGAAGTTGGTTGATGAGGCATTGCTTACATGCGACAACCGTCGTCGTTAGCATCGCCTCCGCCTCCGCCAGCGTCAGCACCGCTTCCCCAAGAATCGCCAGCACCTGCACCAGCACCGGCATCATCGCCGTTCCAGCTGTCGCCAGCAGGAGCCGGATCCCATGAGGAGCTGCCGCCTGTCTTTGTGTCAGTAGAGGCTTGAGGCTACCGCAGCATGTCGCATACCTGCAGTTGCACCAGTATCCCAGCTCATAGCTGTGGGTAATGGCTAGGGGGATTGGAGTTGATGTCAAGTGTCTGTACGACAGTATGGTTAGCATATGCAACAAGTGAAGAGTTAATGCTGACAATCCGAGACTGTCGTCGTAGTATGGAGTGAAGAACCAACCACCGGATGGGAGTGACTGACCTTTTTGGAGTTCAGTGACAGTAACGCGACCTGTCTGCAACAAGCACCGAAGAGATGATCAGAGCGATCGAATAGTAGATTGCGGTCGGTCGATCGACTGCTGGGAAGAACTGAAAAGTAGGTATTGGGATTGAAAATCGTGTTGTGGACGCAACTTCTCTATTGATATGTGGTAAACAGGCGGAGGGCCCGTGCTGAAGCCCAGCGATAACAACGCAGGTGAAGGTGAGGTCAGTATTGTAAATCGCTATCAGTATCGGGAAGCTGTAGGTGTATCATTGGCGATATGCCACGCGATATGCTGGGTATGGTAAGAGAGGATGCGTGTGATGATATGGAAGAAACGTAAAGCGTCGATGGCCGCTTTGGGGCGACAGTGAGAGCAGAGCGATGATCTACTTCAACAGAAAGAACAGGAGCAACGAGAACACCAAGAAGTCAAAAGAGAACAGAAACAGATAGTCAGAAACTCTTGTGAACGTTGAACTGGCATTTGGCACATGAAATACGTAAATACTCATCCTGCACGCCGAGATCGCGTGCTTTTCCAAGAAGCTGGTATCATGTCATGAACCTCACCAAAGAAAAGGATGGAGGCCTTCGCTGCACCACCCATGATCATTTAATACCTGAACGCCAAAAATGACTTCAACCCCCCAAACTGTCGACATCGTGTCTGATTATACACCACGGAACTGCAGATCGTTAGTATGTGCTTCATGTCTGGTTGTTGTTGTTGCCCGAAAGCCATTGGTGTGTCACTTACCATTCGTACCACCAAGAACCACATAGCTCCGATGAACCTAAACGCAGCCAAGCCAGCAACACTGTAGAGAACTACTGCCAGATAAATAGTGGCAGCGTCGTTCTGCTTCTGCTGGGCCTCGTCGGGACTACTGACGGTGAGCTCCAGGCCACCGGACTGCAGAACCAAAGCCGACAGGCCCAAATTGCAGAACATCCAGAAGAGCACGACACCAGATCGAAAGCCCTTGTAGTAATCTTCTTGCTTCTCGCTAGCTGAAGGAACCTTTTTCTCTTCCTTCCACTTAGCGCTGAAGACGCGGAGTTCTGTTTCGTACTGAGTGTTGAGATCGGCGTCGTCAGTTGGCGCCTGGATATCTGCTTTACCATCAGCCTTGGTGGTGACCGAAGGCAACTTTTCCGGTTTGTCGTCTCCCTTAGTACCCCAAGTGATATCGTGGGTATTGCAGAAGGCGTAGACGTTGAGAATGTTGATGTATGTGGGTGTCATGAGCAGGTATTGGAAGAACGACGTGAACATGTGCCATGGATCCAGGAAGATGATGGACACCACTAGCCACATCACATACGTTGATAGTAGTGATATAATCAGAGTGGCAAAGATCTTATCCTTGAACAAGTCTGCCGCGTTGAAGCCACCATTAGTTTCAATCTGTCCCTGGACGGAGCGAACAGTGATGAAGATGGACGCGAACATGAGATAAGCCATGATAATGCACCAGAAGTAGACCATAGACATGTACCACTTGTTGGAACCCTGTGGCCGATTACCGAGTGATAATATGAAACATGTTATCAGCACAGCGATGTAGAGCCACTCGAACACGATAAAGAGTACTTTACCCGCGGTACCGAGTTCGTTCTGCAAGGAGGCAGTAAGGATGCGGAAAACCAGGAAGAAGTTACCAAGAGCAAACCAGGCAAAGATCATGCTGATAGTTTGATAGACAAACTCAACGAGAAACATGGTTTTGCGCAAGAAAGAGTGGTCACTCCGGAAGATGTCGAAAGAGTGAGCCAGGGCGTAGACAGCAGCGAAGAAGGATCCGTTCAACCAACGACGACGTTGACTGATGAATTCGGCCATGGTGGTCGGTACATCCGTCTCTCCGGTAGCAGATTTGACATACTGGAGGATCCAGTGGCAATTTCTCTTGGAGACGAGCTCGAAGCACAGAATACGGTCCTCGGCCAGGTACATGTTAGCTGTGAAAATTCCAGCGTTGGCACCGTGCATCTTTTCACCAGCAAAGTACTTCTCCAGTGGCCCTTGTCCAGTCTTGTCGTTTTGGAGCGCTACGTAGCGATATGCGGAGAAGGCACCAGGAAGCACAGAGATGAAACCAAACGCAGACTCGAGAGGCTTATCCAGGATGTTGCTCATCTTGTACTCAAAATTCTGTGTCGCAACCAGCGGGTTCAAGAGCTTTTTGCCATGCACAAGCATAGCCTTGATCTCACCACAGGCACCTGCACACATGGGCTCGAGATCAAACGCCTTCCACAGCTGGTAGACTGAATCTTTTCCAGGCTTTGTACCAGCATCGATAAGCACGCAAACATTGGGATCCAAAACAGCTCCGAAAGCCTGGAAGAACCATCGATGGGAGTTGATCTTCTTCTGGTTCTTTTCTTTCAAACAGAACAGCATTTGGACGGGGGTGTTGCCCTTCTTGACACCGACGACGCCCTTCTTGATGTCAAGCGTCATTTGCGTGGTGTACTCATAAATATGGGCAGTCACATCCTTGCCGTTGACTTGCTGCTTGGCAATGCCGTCCTGGTAGACACCGAGGGCTGCTAGCACGGCGCGGGTCCTCGGGTTGATCTTGGCACGACCATCGCTGACGACGCAGACTACGATCTTCTTCCACGCGTCCTTGCCCCACGTCTTGCTGTTGGTTCGCGAGTTCATATACTCAATGTTCTTGATGACACCAATCATTGTCCGCGCAAACAATTCATCCTCCTCGTTGTACATGGTGATAACAATGAAGAGCTCAGTGTGCCTTGGCTTTGCAAAAAGCTTCTGACGCAAAGTGAAGCGCTCTGCATCGAAGTCTGCAGGGTCGCATGTGGCGGCCGAGTAGCGCATATGAGTGAACTCGTCACGCTCCGGGGGCTGTGCATGTGGAACCTGGTTCAGTAACCGCGGCGGAATTGGACAATCGAGCACCAAATTGCCCTTGAACAATTGGACTTCCTTGACTGTTTTCCATCGCTTGATTGGAGCTGGGCTAGGTGTGGGCGCGGGCTCATCGTGGAAGGGGTTCTCTGGGTCCATGTCATCTGCGTCATGGGGATCCGGGCCATAGGAATTGGCCCCGTGTATCATCGGTCTGTTCATGTCCTCATCTTGCCAGTAATGCGTCGGTTGTGTGCCGTATCCGGCGCCCGGGCTCTCATCATGCGGAGTTGGGTCGTAAGGCTGGTTGTAGTATGCATCGTGATGCGCTTGGGGGTCGAGCGAGTAATCGGAGTCGTGATGTTGTGGTCGTGGGTCGTAATCGTCGTGATAGTTGCCAGCGGCGTATGGGATATTCTCTACTGAGTACTGTTCTATGTGTCAGCCTGCTGAACACCTGGATTCACAAATGAACGATCTGCACCGTCTGCATCGCTCGTCGTCTCCTTGGAGGCGCAATACATACACTTGGTTGTAACGGCAAGCGGTCGCCGGAGGCTGCTGCTGGGTTGGGTCCCATTGGGATTTCCAAGATGCCCGAGGGCTGTGGTGACGCATAGCGGTCTTGATGTGGTGATGCATAGCGGTCTTCTAGTTGATAGCCACGGAGAGGCTGCCCTGGCGAAGGAGTGCGCCCAACTTGTCTTCGGGGATCCATCTCGTACGGGTCGTCGCTACCGCCTGGTGCGCCTATGTAGTACGGTTAGCTTGACTGGCAAGCGTGGCACCTCGTGGTGGAAAAGGCTTGTTCGGTGGTTTGCGAAGGTGTCGAGGTTGACCGGCCTCTCCCATGCGACGTCGAGTCTGCCAAGTTATTACTCACCTAATCTGTTGTATGACATGTTGGTGTGTTTCCAGCGTATGCTGCTGCGCCTTCAATCTTTCTGCGGCAATGCGACGGGCGGATCAACAGGCCAAAACACAAATACAAGGGGTTGCCCAGTTGAAAAGCCAAAGGTGCGACTGTTATGGTGTGCTATCGTATAGGCGTCGCGGGACAGGCGACTGGTATATGTTCGGGTTTCAGGATGTGTTTGGTGCGTTTGGCGGGCCGGTAGCGCTCTGGGGTTGTTTACTGTAGCAACCAGCGGGTACGCATGGGCGGTCAAATGATGTAACACCAAGAAGAGCGCAAGTAACCGGCTTTCAGAGATTGCAACGACTGGGGCCTCAAAGCCTATAGAGATGAAGTGGTTGCAGCTGAGTTTAGCTCGTGGAAGACTGGCTCCTTGGAGGGTTCATCCATTCAAGTGCACCTGAGCAGCTGCCAAGGAAGCACTCGCTGCGCAATCGTCGTGGGGTGCGCCACACTTCACAGCCCTGCTATTACGAAGCCCCAAGGTCTATTTCCGTCAAAGCTTTGCTCACCAACGGCTGTGAAAAGGCCGAACTTTATCGCTATCGATAGATGATTGGAGCATACATGTTGACTAGACGACATGGCTTTTCCTTCCTGCAACTCTCGTCAGCATGGCACTTTTACTCCTTGAATATCAGGCAAGTCATCAGGCGCATGCACATGCAGATGCGGCTCTGGCAACTGGACGATTTCGGAAACCCCACCAAGGCCGAAGTGACAGGTCACTCGTACATACGTAGACGTGTGGCTGCCGCAGTGCGAGAATGGCTCGAGTGTTTGTCGATCTTTACACTACACTGCGTATGCCTACGAGTGAGCAGCAAAAGCAACTCAAACCCTCAATTCAGCATGATACCTGCGTTGTCTTATGATTATAATGCACTGGTGATCGCTCGTTGTCACGTTTGGCGTGCGTGCACAGTACCTGTCGATCCCACGTCATTTGCGGCGGTGCACATCGAGTCTTACAAGACATCTCACCGTACCTAGAGAGTGTAATTGTTGTCGCGGTATTAGTGTATGATACATGGATCGCCAAAGAATATCACGCGAATCCAGGTAGCCTACTCTATCGCAAGTGGAAGCGCCTGAACTGTTGCTTGACCTAACAGGCCCAATCCCGACGATACGCCGTCCCAAGATGATCTCCGATCTTCCCAGATTCCTCGCATCCTCGTATTCCCACAACACTCAATCGCAAAGGAACCTCACGCCTACCCAACCTACCCACACACGACCAAGACACCTCCCATATCGCCACGATGAGCGACTCCAAATCCCCTAGACCCGTCTCCGTCCTGTTTGTCTGCCTAGGAAACATCTGTAAACACACCCCTCCACCCTTTGTATCCCACCACAGCACTAACCTCTCCCAACAGGCCGTTCAACAATGGCTGAAGGCGTCTTCCAGTCTCTTACCGCACCCTCGCACCCTTTGATCTCAACAATCGACTCTTGCGGCACGGGCGCCTACCATGTCGGTTCCAGCCCCGACTCACGCACCATGGCTACCCTCAAAGCGAACAAGATAACCACCTACCGCCACTCGGCACGAAAGTTCTCTCCTAGCAGCGATTTCGAAAAGTTCGATTACATACTCGCAATGGACGATGAGAATCTAGAAGATTTAGAGGCATTGAGGCAGAGGGAGCTTAAGAAGAAGGGCGGAAGCGACGAGGGCATTGGGAGGGTTATGCTGTTTGGAGAGTTTGGGGGGGAAATGAGGAAGGGGAGGCGTGGAGAGAGGGGCGAGGAGATTGTGGACCCGTACTATGGAGGAGATGATGGGTTCAAGACTGCGTACGAGCAGTGCATGAAGTTTGGCAAGGTGTTCTTGGAGAGGCTTGAGAAAGGAGAGCTGAGCTGAAAGGAGGCGAATGGATGGTAGAATATTATTTCAAGTGTGGAGTGGTTGTGCGTTTAGATACCCCATAGACTGCCCTAGGCTACAATGCATGTACAATTCCAGTTGGACTCTAATAAGCCTCATTACAACGCGTGATGCTTCCGGGGTATAATTCGTTATCATGTCGTATCGCTACGAGTTCCGCTTAATCTGCCTCTCTAGATCCAGTAGCTTCTCTACCAATTTTCCTCGCATAAAGTCAGTCAATCCCAAACTGCTTCTGTTAGCTTCGCGCCCAACTCTCTGGATTACAACAAAGATACTCACATGCCCTCCCTCGTCACAACGCGGTACGTCCCACTGTTCTGCCAGCCTCCGTCTCCTCCACTAAAATGACCATTGCCGTCAACTTCCACACTGCCGAAGATGTCCTCGGGCCACGCAATGCGCCCATAGTCTGGTGGATTCCTCAGATCACTGATATGTATCCAACCTCCATGACCTGCTCCTCCCATGCCGCCTTGGTGATTTGCGCCGCCTGCGCCATCGTTCGGTTGCGAAAGGTTAGAGCCGCCTGGTGACGCGTAGACGGCTGCTTGCGATTGTACATATGGGTCAGAGATGGCGTGTGTGGCGAACACAGAGGATAGGATGGGAAGGAACTGTGGGTTCTCGGTGAAGTTCTGGGGCGTGGGTGGGAGAGCAGTGCATGTGCCTATGGCGAGTTGTGGTGTGGGAGGTTCGGTGGGCAGTAGTGATAGCAAACGTTTGCTCGGATCGAACGGATCTTTATGTACATACTGAACCGGGTCAGTAGGTGTTGTCCTAAAAGCGTGAGTTACATACAATGTGTGGATTCTCTGGCAATGTCGAAGCATTCCTCGCGCCTCTGAGACGAAGTGTTTGCGCTGAAGGACGTACACGACGCGCAGAACGCACGAAGGTGTTCGCAAACATCTGATACAATACAGGACACATGAGTATATACAATCGTAGGGTCTGAGACTTGTTTACTATCGTTGCTGGGAATGAGGCCGAAACCTTATGCTCAGATGCTCGATTACTAACAATGACGAGGACTTCGGGAGTCCGCACTAGCGGCAGATCAAGCCGCCCGTTGCTCCTTCCGTCTTAGTCTCGCAACAAAGTACCTTAGCCACCTCGATTGTCCATGACCACATATCCGGGATAGCTTAAACAAATTTGCGCTGAGTCCTAGATAGTGCCGTTGTCCCGCGTGGACCCTCGGAAAATCACACCTAGTTGTAACCCAAGTCTCGACCGCCGGCCATGATCATTCCCCAAACCATTGCTAGCGCTACCCCACTAGCCATGCAAAATGTTCGCATTGGCGAATGGGAGTGCCCACGCAGTTGGTGGAGGCATGGCCGAACGGTGTATCGGCTTAAGTAAGTAGGGAAGGTGCTTCGTTGAGAAGTATCTGTTCCCCTTCGACTCACCAGTCTGTTTCGTGTTGTCGCAGTTCCACATCATGGCTTCGGACGCTGTGGAGATAGCACCCATCGAGAAGAGGGTCGGGGAGACGAGCGATGCAAAGCAGACAGGGTTGCACCAGGATGTCGAAGTCGGACCCGAAATGGTCGATATTGATAGAATAGAGAGAGTTTACTCGTAAGTTGTACATTTCCTCGCCATGAGTTATCGTGGATTATGCTAACAGCCACTCAGCAAGCTCGACCGTCGGATTCTGCCAGCGTTCTGGGTCTTGTACTTCTTATGCTCGGCAATTCGCTCCAACATTGGACTTGCTCAAACTATGAACCTGGCTGAAGGTCACGATCTTGGATCCGTACTCAACATCACGCCGAAACAGGTCTCTACTGGTCTGGCGCTGTTCTACGTCTGCTATGTCATCTTCGACCTTCCTTCCAACCTCATCATGTCAAGGGTTAGTCCTCACGCTTGGATGAGTCGCATCGTCACTTGTGTTGGTATCATTGGCATGTGTCTGACTGCTATGAATGCTGCCTGGAACCTTTAGTAGGTACTTTCCCTGCATGTTGTATTCAAAGACTAACAACAACCCAGCCTTCTCCGATTGCTATTAGGTATCGTCATTGCAGGCATGTGGCCCGGTATGTCGTATTACCTGACACTCTTTTACCCTCCGTCTCGCACCGGCAAGCGCATCGGACGCTACTTCACAGCGTCCCAGATGTCTGCGGCGGTCGTGGGTCTTGTCTCAGCTGGTTTCCAGAAGATGGACGGAGTAGGTGGTCTTGTCGGATTCCAGTGGATGTTCCTATTGTACGGTATCGTCGGCTTCATCGTCGGCATATCGCTACTTTGGTGGCTTCCCGATAGGCCACTACCTCCTGGTGAAGTTCGTCAACCAACTGGATTGGCGAAATGGCTGCCGAAAGGCAAACCGGCCCTAGAAGGCGAAGACGCGCGCATCCATTACGAAGATTTGACCCGCGTCTACAGCCGCAAGCTGTGGAATATGAAGGATCTCTGGCACGTCGTAATCGACTGGAGAATTTACCCCCTTGTCGTCATGTACTTTGGTGTGGTGGGAGTAGGCAACGGAACACAGGCTTACGCGACTGTTATCATACGCGGCATCAACCCAAGCTTGACGGGCATTCAGCTCAGTCTGCTTTCCGCACCCATCTGGATTGTAAGTATCTGGATCTTGTTGTGTGAATCGAGCTAATTGCAACAGATGGACCTCATCGCCATTCTCCTCGTGACGCCAATCTCTGATCGTTTCCACCATCACCGTCCTGCTTTCTTCAGCGGCGCCGTTGTAATACAGATTGCAGGTCTGTTGATCGCCACATTCGCCAAAGATTGGTCACGTTACGGTGGTGTGCTACTTATCGGCTTCGGACTGGGCCCGACGGTGCCCATTTGCATGGCCTGGTCCAACGAGATCTTCCAGCCCCGCCATGGAGAGGTGGGTGTAGCAGCAGCTAGCGCACTTGTGTCTGGACTTGGTAATCTAGGAAGTATCTTGACTACCTACGCACTCTATTCTGGATGGCCCGAAGATGCCAAGGACGGTCCGCACAAGTACCGCAACAGCAACTTTGTCATGATTGCCATTCTGTGCGCTAGTATACTCAGCGCAGGAAGCATGGTGGTCCTACTGAAGATGTTTGGCGACAACAAAGGAAAGCAGGTTAGTAGTGCAAGCTCGACTAGCGAGGGCGAGGCTGCATACGTGGATGGTGCTGCTCGGCGCGAGGTCCAGCAGAGGGGTCTCGGACGAATGTTTTGGTTCCGATGAAGAGCGGGTGGAGAATGGTCCTGCAGGCGGTGATTGGCAAAGTGGCAGTCATGGAGAAGACATTGGTTGGGATGGGTTTCTGGAATTGCCCATGGGGCAGCCAGAGGGTCACGAGAACGCGGAGCACTCGCGTGGAGGCGGGAACCAGGTCTACCTGATGCAAGTCAACAACCCCGGGCTGACAGCGCTGCTGCGACTGCTGTAAGACAAGATATACAAGTACCACAAACCATAGTACGTTGTTCCGATTAGTTGTTCCGTTTGCCTGTGTCGTTGGGATTGCCGTCGCAGGTGTGACTGATAGCAATAGCCGACCGACGCCGGAGCAGCGGTTGTTCAACTCGCAGGCAGAGCCAAGAGGGGCTTCACGATACCCCAAGCTCCGTCACTTTTTGCGCCTAGCCTGCTTCCCCATAACTCCATCTTTTTCTTCGCCCTGCTCCGCTTCCGGCGCCTTGCCTCGCGTAGAAATCCTCGCAACCTCTGCTCCCAACATCCAAAGCACCCCGTGTCTCATCAGGAGCGCGCCCCACCACAGCTGTCCATGCACTGCAGTCGACGATCTGACAATCGATAAACCGTGTCACCGACTCGGCCGCCTCACACCGATCAGTCGCACGCAACCGCTGCAAGCACGCGCTCCAGGGAGTCATTGTACACGCCCTTTCCCCTTCGCCCCCAGACACGTTTGATGGTGGCCCTCGCAGCGTAGTAGCGGGGCAGTGAGCCAAGCGCGGTATACTCGCAGCACAGAGCCCCAGGACCACGGCTTGCGCGCCCCGCTGTAAAGAAACAGACAGCAGTGACGTAAGTGCTCGTTGTTTGCCAGCACCCGCGTCCGTCTTCACATGCTTTTGGAGCCACCCGCTCGTCTGGCTCAGCCCTGCATCGGCATACCTGCTAACACCCCATGTATAGTCCCCGCAGGCGCTCACCAGCTACCACCCCGGCCAAAGCTCCAGCCAGTGCTCCCAGGCACGACAAGCCCCACTACATCACCGCCGCTCCATCAACACCACGCGCACCATGTCAGCCGCAATCGACAACGAAGACCTGGAGGAGCTCTCCATCTCCATGCCCGCCCAACGGCGAGGAGCTGGCGCCGCAAGCACCACCAAGGCCCAGGACCATGCCGTCGCGCCGCCCACTGCGCTCGGCACAGCTGTGCAGGAGAGCAAGAGCAAGGACTCCAAGGCGAACCAGCGGCTCGGACAGTACACCATAGTCAGGACACTAGGCGAGGGCTCGTTCGGTAAAGTCAAACTGGCGACACACCAGGTCAGCGGCCAGAAGGTGGCTCTCAAGATTATAAATCGCAAGCGACTCGTCACTCGAGACATGGCCGGCAGGATAGAGCGCGAGATCCAGTACCTGCAGCTGCTACGACATCCTCACATCATCAAGCTGTGAGTGGACTGCATATCCATAGCTTTCGTATACTGACCGCCCGCAGGTACACAGTCATAACGACACCAACTGAGATTATCATGGTCCTCGAATACGCCGGCGGTGAGCTGTTCGACTACATCGTCAACCACGGGAAGCTGCAGGAAGCCCAGGCGCGCAAGTTTTTCCAGCAGATCGTCTGCGCCGTTGAATACTGCCACAGACACAAGATCGTACACCGAGATCTAAAGCCCGAGAACCTCCTGCTCGACGACGAGAGCAACGTCAAGATTGCCGACTTCGGACTCAGCAATATCATGACAGACGGCAACTTTCTCAAGACAAGCTGTGGAAGTCCCAATTACGCCGCACCCGAAGTCATATCTGGAAAGCTGTATGCAGGTCCAGAGGTCGATGTCTGGAGTTGCGGTGTCATCCTCTACGTCCTACTCGTAGGCCGACTACCCTTCGACGACGAGTACATTCCCACTCTGTTCAAGAAGATCGCGGCCGGACAATACAGCACGCCAAGCTATCTATCCCCTGGCGCCACGTCTTTGATCAGGAAGATGTTGATGGTCAACCCCGTACACCGCATCACAATTCCTGAACTTCGACAGGATCCCTGGTTCACCAAAGATCTGCCTGCGTATCTTGAGCCACCTGCCCAAGACTTCTTCGATAGCGGCGCTGACCCGAACAAGGCAATCGATCCCAAGGCTCTGGCACCATCAGCAGATGCTCCCCGTGTACAGGCGCTACATGAGAATGTTGTCTCGAAGCTTGGCAAGACTATGGGTTATGCAAAGCATGATGTGCAAGATGCGTTGGCGCGGGATGAGCCAAGTGCAATCAAGGATGCCTACTTGATTGTTCGAGAGAATGAGATGATGCGGAAGAATCGTAAGCCAGCTCTCACTTAAAACACGTACATGGCTAACAGTTTATCGCAGCTTTATTGACAGGTGCTGAGTGGGATCAAATGTCGCCTCCTACTCACGACAGTCACATGGATAGATTCAGACCCCAATCGCTGAATGCAGCTACTCGTCCACAATTCATACCGCCATCAAATTCTGAACACGAACGAGTACGTCAAGGCTCAAATGCCAGTAGCCAGCTTGCGAACATTCGAAGTCCTGTCAGCACAGTTGCTATCTTGCCTAGCAGTCTCACGGAATACCACAAAGCCTATATGAAAGGTCATCCGCGACCTCTGAACAAAGTCCAAGAACATGATGGTCTCCCACCCACCCCAGAACAAACTGAAGAACAACGGCAGATCTCAGCCAGAAGGTTGAAACCGAACTTCCGCACGATGCCAGAAGCAGGCAGAAAC